GCAACCATGCCGGGTTCCGAACCATCGGAGATTCAGTGGTCAGCGAAGAGAGTCAGAGATACTTATGTCGATTTCTTCAAAGGGAAAAGTCACAAGTTTTGGCCATCAAGCCCCGTTGTTCCACATAACGATCCTACTCTTCTCTTCGCTAACGCTGGTACGAAATTCCGATTGCTAAAGTTCGATTTTGTTTCCCGATGAGATTAGGAATTTGACTTATTGAATTGAGTTAATCGGATGCTAGTTATGGAGTTTAGTGGAATGGTTTATTCTGATTTCTTCTGTCTTTGTAGTTTGTGTAATTCATATACTGTTATGTTATTGATTCTTTAGCTGTGATATACGAATGACATTGAAACTTCTCTGTTTTACAAGGAATGAACCAGTACAAGCCGATATTTTTGGGAACAGCTGACCCGAATACTGAGCTCAGCAAGCTTACGCGAGCATGCAACACCCAAAAGTGTATTCGTGCTGGTGGAAAGCATAATGATCTTGATGATGTGGGCAAAGATACTTACCATCACACCTTCTTTGAAATGCTTGGTAACTGGTCATTTGGAGATTATTTCAAGAAGGAAGCCATTGAATGGGCTTGGGAGCTTCTTACAAAGGTAATTAGAACAATTTGGTATCTTGTTCTGCAATATGATATAGTTCAAAGAGTACAATTTTTCTTCCCGCAGCAAATAGGCATGGTATACAGTGAAGTATTGTTTTGCATGATTCTGTATACTTGTTCTTATCATTTCATTGGCTTCCATATATCATCGGAAGTTGATTAATAGGTCTCTCTGTTTTGCATGTCTCAGGTTTACGGGCTACCGACTGATCGAATTTACGCCACCTACTTTGGCGGTGATGAGAAAGCTGGCCTTCAACCTGATAATGAGGCTAGAGATATCTGGTTGAAATTTCTTCCACCTGGACGTGTGTTACCCTTTGGTTGCAAAGTATGCTTCCTTCATAATCCCATTAATTCTCTGCTTAATTGCATTCTTATTGATGTCTCTCTCCCCTAAGGTTTTTTCAGAAGTACATCAATTGAGTTTCCTGTCCAATGATATAACTGTACCAGTTAGAAATTTTTTAGCCTTTATAGTTATTATCCCTTACTTAGTTTCTTACTCGAACGCTGAGAATATTAGACTTATCATCTTTGCATCCATTGCTAATGCTTTTGGTATATGTTGACACATTTTTTTGGCGATGAGACTGTAGCCAACTTGAACCTTTCAAGGTTTTGTAGTTGACAGGCTTTAATAACTGGTGTTTATGATTTTCAGTTAAAAAACTTCCACCAAATGTCTAAGGATTTCTAATGTATTCTTCTTTTGATGATGAACTTCAGGACAATTTCTGGGAAATGGGAGACACAGGTCCGTGTGGACCTTGCACTGAGATACATTATGATCGTATCGGTAACCGTGATGCTGCATCCTTAGTTAACAATGACGATCCAACTTGTTTAGAAATATGGAATCTTGTCTTTATTCAGGTACAAACAAACACTCTCTTCCCAATTGTAATTTAGTTCTATTTTACTACTCTTTATCTTGGTATATGCAGAGTGTGGTTGTTCTTTTAATGATTTTATAGATTATGTAGCTGAAACTCTATATTACGCTGCTAGCTGGATTGATTTTTCTTCTCTAGCTTTGCAATTATATTCTCAATCGTTTCCTCTAACGGGGTCTGTTATGCATGTTTTCAGTTCAACAGAGAAAGTGATGGCTCACTAAAACCTCTGCCTGCAAAGCATGTCGATACCGGAATGGGTTTCGAGAGATTGACTTCTGTTCTTCAGAACAAAATGAGCAACTATGATACCGATGTGTTCATGCCTATCTTTGACGACATCCAGAAGGTAATTTGTGAAACCTTCTGTTGATGGTCTCATGATGTTCTGTTAATGTATTGAGTTACTATTGTGTGGGCTTCTCTTAGAGATGCTTTATTATTGTCAAGTGAATTATGGGTCTAAGTATTTCTATGGATTTAATATATCATATTTGCCTCTTTGATGAGGTTACAGCTTCCTTTCCTGCGTCACTGTCACTTATTTTGAATATTTCTGATTCAGTGAATTTGGAATGTAACTATCAAGTCATCTTAGTACGAGTATACTGGAGGGCATTTCCTTTTCAGCAGTTTCACAGTTCACATTAATCCTTTTCCTAGATGCTCGGAATATTAAGTTGAGGTGTTGATATTTTCACATTTTTAGGCCACGGGAGCCAGGCCATATTCTGGAAAAGTTGGTCTGGAAGATGTCGACAGAGTTGACATGGCATATAGAGTGGTTGCTGACCATATTAGAACTTTATCATTTGCTATTGCGGATGGTTCCCGACCTGGTATGGCTATTGTTTCTTTTTCTCATTTATTTGCAATCTATTACGGTATTCTTTTGTGTAGTTTGCCAAATAACATATGTGATATACCCTCTTGCAGGTAATGAGGGCCGTGAGTATGTTCTGCGGCGTATTCTTCGTCGAGCAGTTCGTTATGGAAAGGAGATCTTAAAAGCTGAGGAAGGTTTTTTCAATGGGTAGGAAATTACGTTGGATTGTTACTTCATGTTTTGTTTCTATATTATATCCTTGGGGATAGAACATGTTTGTTTTGTCTTGTATCTTTGCATCTTAGCTTGGTCACTGATCAATTTATGTTTTTGATATGTAGACTCGTAAGTTCTGTTATTCGCGTGATGGGCGATGTCTTTACGGAGCTGAAGGAACATGAGAAAAAAATCACAGAGATAATAAAAGAAGAGGAAGCAAGCTTTTGCAAGACCTTGGCGAAGGTGAGGGTAGATTTGAATTCTGTCAGACCTTTTAACCTTTATCTTTCTTTCTGTTTTGGGTTCTGTTGGCTCTTCGCACTGAAGTTTTAGGAACAATTTGCAGCTTCAGTATCAGTGACCTTGTACATGAGTGTATATTGTTACCAGTCACCATTCAGTTTTAGTGATGTTGCTTGGGAATGATTCAGCATTCCAGTATTTATAGGGTTTCGATTTCTGAAAGATAAATTAGTTTGACTTGTTTGTCCTTATACTTCTCTTTGTCATATAGGTGAGTATAAGAACAGTTAGATTGATTATAATTTTTCACGGCAGGGAATTGAGAAGTTTCGGAAAGCTGGACAGGCAGTTCAGGGGAATAGACTGAGTGGAGAGGTACGTATCTAATGTTTTTGTGCTAGTTTATTTTGATTTTTCATGTTAGATGTTTCAGTATTTGGAACACTCTGCGATCTGAACATACTGTCTTTTCTTTGCAGGATGCTTTTATCCTATGGGATACATATGGTTTTCCACTAGATTTAACTCAGGTACGGAGGTTATGCTTATTCATTTCTGAAAGTTTAAGTGTTATTTTTTCTAACTTTCATTCTCGTGTTTCA